CTAGTCTTGTTGATCTTTTCTACTGTCTTTCTATTTTGTTTTATTTATTTATGCTCAAATCTTTATTATTCTTTTCTTCCAGTGACTACAGGCTTTTCTTTTCTTTTCTTTTCTTTTTTCTGCTCTTTCTCTAATTGTTGGGGATGTTGGGTTAAGATGTTGATATTGGCTTTTTCTTCTTTTTTGATGTGTGTATTTATTGCTATAAATTACCCTCTGATTACTACTTTTGCTGTGTCCCAAAGAGTTTAGTATGTTGTGTTTTTGTCCTTATTTGATTCAAGGAATTTTTTTTATTTCATTTTTTATTTCTTCTATTACCCAGTCATTTTTAAGGTGGGTATTATTTAGTTTCCATGTGTTTTCTCTTTTTCTGTTGATCTTCCTATTGTTGATTTCTAATTTGATAGCATTGTGATCTGAGAAGATGCTTTGCATTATTTCAATGTGTTTAAATTTATTGAGGCTCACTTTGTGGCCTAACATATCCTGGAGTATGTGTATCCTGGAGAATGTTCCATGTGCACTGGAAAACAATGGATATTGTCCTGTTGTTGGGTGAAGTGCTCTGTCTTCAGAGATGTCTATAAGATGTCTATAAATGTCTATAAGGTCAATTTGCTGGATTGTATTTAGTTTTTCTGCGTTTTTGTTGAGTTTCTTTCCATTTGTTCTATCTTTCATCGAAAGTGGTGTATTAAAGTCTCCAACTATTACTGTGGACTCATCTATCTGTCTTTTCAATTCTGTTGAAGTCTGCTTGTATTTTGGGACTCTTTCATTGGGTATGTAGATATTTATTACAGTTATGTCCTTTTGTCCAATCAATCCTTTAATCATTATATAATGCCCTTTCTTGCCTCTTTTGCATTTTGTTTTAAAGTCAATTTTATCAGAAATTAATATTGCCTTTGTTACTCTTTTTTGGTTGCCATTTACTTGATATATCTTTTTCCAGTCTTTGATTTTTAGTCTATTTTTGTCTTTGTCTCTAAGGCATGTCTCTTGCAGATAGTATTTTGATGGGTCATATTTTCATATCCAGTTGGCAACTCTCCATCTCTTGAGTGCTGCATTTAATTCATTTACATTCAGTGTAATTATCAACAAGTATAAATTTGTTGCTGTCATTTTGTTGTGTGTTTTTTCATGGTGCTGCTTATTTATTTGTTCTATATATTTTTTTTTTTTGTGCTGAGCTCACTCTGTTTATGAATAGTGCTATCATTTCCTTTTTGCTATTGTTTTTGTATTTGTTAAATATTTTGTTTGTCCTCTTTTTTATTTTGATGTGAAGGTTTATTATTTTTCTTTTAGGTTACCTTGTGATTTATAACTTTCTTCCCAAGTTTAGAGCAGTCCATTCTATCTTGCAATTGTCTTGACTTACTCACTGTTTAGAAGTCCTGTAACTGCACTATTTTTCCCTTCCTTTTAGTTTGTAGTAGTCTTCATTTGCCAGCGGACATCCCTGGTTCCCTGTTTACAGTCCTTTAAGTTTATTTCACTTTGTATACTTCGATAACTGGATTGGTTTCTGGGTTATGTCATCATGTGTGTTAATGGTTGGTTGTTATTTGCTATCATTGGTTCTCTGTCCAAACGATCCTGTTAGCATCTCTTATAAGGTTGATCTGGTTTTAACAAATTCCCTTAATTTCTGCTTATCTAGAAATCTCCTAATTGCACCATCATATTTGAGGGACAGTTTTGGTGGGTATATAATTCTTAGCTGGAAATTGTTTTCTTTCAGGGTTTTATGTACACCATCCCATATCCTTCTCACCTTCATGGCTTCTGCCAAGGAATCAGAGCTTAGTCTAATTGGCTGCCCTTTATAAGTAACTTTTTGTTTTTCCCATGCTGCTTTTAGGATTCTTTGTCTTTCATTTTGGTGAGTTTGATAATGATATGTCTTGGTAATTTTCTTTTGGTGTCTATGCTGTTTGTGGTTCATTGAACTTCTTGAGTGGATATATTCTCATCTTTCATCATATAAAGAAAATCCTCTTCCAACAAATCTTTGACAATTTCATCTGTGGTTTTGCCTCTTCCTGTTCCTGAATTCTAATTACTTTCAGGTTATTCCTCTTGATAGTATCCTACATGAATATTTTCTTTTTTCATTTTTTTTTTTCTGATTGACCCCTTACCAAAGTAGTATTAAGATATTTTTCTTCAATCTCACTAATTCTGTCTTTCATTGATTCAATTCCATTTCTTTGCCCTTTCAATGTGTTATCTACTTCTGAAATTTTAGTATAAATCTTCTGTATTTCTATCTGTAGATTTTGTATCATTTCTAATTTTTTATTTGTTTTGTCATTTTATTCCTTCTAAATTGTTCTAGGACATTGTCTGTGTTTTCCTTAATTTTGTCACTGTTCTCCTTGATCTGTCTGTTAATCCATTAAATGTACTTAAATATCATTCTTTTGAATTCCTTATCAGGGAGTTCCAAAGCTGCTTCTTCCTCAGGGATGTTTTCTGGGTCTATACTCTGGTCCCTTGTTTGTACTACTTTATCTTGCCTCTTTGTGTGGTCCGTTTCTCTGAGACATCATGATGTTGTATCTATATTTAATTGATGACTGTTTGTTGGTGTTATTCACCCAAGATTTTTTTTCATTGTTTTGTTTTGATATATCTGAGTAAGCAGGGTACCCTGCTCCTCTATTCACTAGTTGGAAGCACTTATGCACTGTCCTGGTGGGTGTGATAGAGAATGAGAGTAGGTGCACAGAGCTCTGTTAAATATTTGTAAAGAGCAATTAAGTGACTCAGGCTTGTATTGGCTGTCATCTATTATTGGCCAGTTGGTGCAGAAGCAAGTGGTTACCCTCTCTCAGTAGTTGGGGACGCAGGAGATATGGGTATGATTGGGTAGTATAGGCATAGTTGCTATCTCCCACTCAGTTAGACAAAAACAACAATCACAAAACCACCGAAAGAGTAAAAACAAGAGGACAAAGAACACACACCACATAAACACACAGGAACAATCACTGGCAGGAGTGGCGTAGGAAAGGCAATAAATGAGAAGAAATATTTAAAGAAATATTTTAAAAAGACAAAAGAAACATAAAGAGAAAGGTAGAAGGAAAAAAATGTCTGGGGAGGGAGGTATAAGAAAAAAGAGCTAGAGTAAAACAACAATAAAAGGAAAAAGTGAGAAAAATTCAAAAAGAAAAACATGGGATGGGAAGGACTGAAAGAAAGAAAAAAGATGGGAACCAGGAAAAAGCTAGAGACAAAAACCAAAAACTAGAACCTGAAAAGAGAAAAAGAAAGAATTTTAATAAATAAATAAATAAATAAATAAATAGAAAACAAACAAAAACAAAAAAATCTAGGGTGGAGGGGGAACAGGGCAAGGCATCAGCTTTGTCATATCACAGACTGGAATGGAATTCCTACTGCTCCAGAAAGTGAGTGGAGGTGGGGGATGGCCATACCTCTGTTCACCAAGAGGGTATGAGGTATAAGAGTAACAAGGAGAATGTCGCACGTTTTCAGTCATCAGCCTCCAGAGTGTTTGCCCATGCTGTGCTGTCCTCGGCAAGTGGAGATTATTCTTTGGTCACTGGGCTCTAAATGCTACCACTTTAAATATCCAAAATGGCCACATTGCTTATAAACATTCAAAATAGCTATGCTATTTAGACAGCCAAAAGCCCACAGCTTAGTTTTTCTCCTTCTTTGCTGTTTCCCTTTTTTGTCATCACCCACCAGTGCAGTTGTTCACGCAGCCATTGATGAGCAGAGCTGATATTTAGTTACTGCTCAGCTCCTAATACCACTTGTTAGTATTCAAACTGTCCGTGTTGTCAGGATAGCTTATGGTCTGTAGCTCTATTTGTCTCCTTATTCACTGTTTTTATTCACATTCTTCTAGTAGTTGATATTTAATTCCATTCTGTATCCTTCTGTTCAAAGCTCAGGGCTCCAGGATTCTGTATCTGTGTCAATTAGTTTCTCTTTTCTTTGTTGAAAAGGGTCTGTGTAGCTTGTCTGTCTATTCTGCCATCTTCTGAGCTTCTCTTTTGACTGAAAGTTGTAGATAATATTTATTGAGGGCTGTCCCAACTGCCAGGCTCCAAAGTAAGTGTACATAGATCATCTCCTTTATTCATCAAACAACATTTGAAGTGATACTATTATTCATCTAATTTTGCAAATAAGGAAACTAAAGCAAAGTACAGTTAAATAATGTGTTCAAGTCCACACAGCTGATAATGTGTAGAGTCTGCCTGAATCCAAAGGCCATGATATAACCATTGCCCCATCCTACCTGTTGGACCTTCTCTTATTCATCTTTGCTACCCCTTCTGTACCCAGCACATTGCCTAGTCCAGAGAGGTGCTCAATCAATGGTGATTGGTATTGAGTGGAGCAGAAAGGCCAGGAACAGAAAACATTTTTTCCGTGACTGATGAGTGACTAATTTCTATGCTATGGAGAGAAAGAAAATGCCGAGTCAAACATCTTTCTCTGGCTTGTAGCTCTCTTCTACTTTACCTCATTTGCCTACTTCTTTTTTCTTCCTAACTCTGATAATTGGATTGGAAAGTTGGAGCTTAGTGCAGACCCTGGGAAAAAAGAACTCTGTGTCTTGTGCAGGACTAAGAGCAAGAAAACATGAAAGCCAGGAAAAAATAAACATTAAAATTTATGTGTAGGGAAATGTTTAACCTAGTGAAATCAAGATATTATCTGGAATTGGCATATTGCAAACAATGCCAGGTGCTAAATACTGCTTAGTATTCCAAAAAAAAAAAACAAAAAAAACCCAGAAAGCCTTTGCTTTCTGATTGGACTTATTCTAAGAATAAATTGATGGGTGTGGCTTAAGGACACCAGCTCATGTGTAGAATTGAACGTTATTTGAGCAAACAAAATATCTGCACACTATATCTGCTGGGCACTCCAGCAGTCAGCAAGAACTCACTGGTTTCGTAAGCTGTGCAGAAGACAGAAACAAAATGAGCACCAGCAGCACAGCAGGAAAAGTAAGCAATAAAAAAAATTTACTTTTATGTAACAAATAAAAAGATGTAGCATTTAATGAATAGTCTAAAATGCATATCTAAATTACAAACAATATTTACTGACATACAATATCAATGTGTGCTACAAATGTAATGCATACTGAACTAAAATGGACATAGGCTATTCCTATATATCTGTAACAGGAAGGTATACATTTTGTATGTTGAAGTCTTTCTTTCCTGTATTAATAAATGCTCAGTGGTTACAGTAATAATTTGTTTCAAGCTAGTCATAACTAATTTGTAAGTCTAACCTTAGAAGTAGGAACTCTGGTAGCATAGTGCCTAAGGCACTTGACTGCTAACCAGAAGGCTGGTGGTTCAAACCCACTCAGAAGGAAAGTTGGGCAATCTACTTCCAAAGTGATACCACCTCGGAAACCCAAGGAGGGGTCGCTATAAGTCAGGTCCAACTCGAGGGCACATAACAACAACAGTGTTAGAAGTAGTAGTGTTTAATCAAGAAATTGTATTCTTATTAAGAAACCATAGTTTAAATGTGCTATTCTTTGTAATCATAATCTTTTTATGAACACAGGGAATTTCAGTCTGATAAAAGTTTTATGAGAGGAATTTGATTCAGAGGACTTTGAAATATCCTTTGAACCTTACTATAAAATCTCTTATCAAGGGCATATTGAACTCAAAGCTTTAGAACCGTCAAAGTTATGCAATAGCAATGAACATGCAAATTCTAACTATAGGGGATCTGTTATTGCACAATTCAGGACATGTTCACAGCAATCCTACAGAGCAGTGTCTTTTCCATATAAAGATCAACATGAATTTTATAGAAAATTAATGCTGATATAATTTTAATCACTTCTTAGCACAATGAAGAGAGAGGTTTGGTTGCAAGTCTTTCATAGGTTCATAATTATTCACAAGTACAGAGAAATGCATGTGGTCATTAAGCATAATCAATTCATGTTATATAATTGCAAAAGCCTGTGCAACTGATTCCAGTACGTTTGTTGTGTTAGGAGTGGGTCATGTAATATAATATATTCATAGGAAAACTCAACTTAAATATTCTGAGGTTTCTATACAGATACTCTGTGACTCTATAGGCCCAGTACAGTAAGATACTTTGGAAATTACATGAGTGTCCAATTGTCAGTTGCCTTATTCTAACTCTCTTTATTTTCTTTCATTACTGATTAGCACTTACCATGGAATGCTACGTTCTAAATGAAAAACTAGTGAGAAAAAGGAAAAATTGAACATGCCAAGACTCAGCTTAAGAGATATAATAGAGTTCATAGAGTAAAAGGGTAAATTAATTGTATTAATAAAAATAATAAATCATTAAATATATGATCAATCCTTCTTTCTCAAATGCACTATCAATAACTTTTAGCTTTGTAACAACACTTCAGGTATATTTAGCATTTTTATATTTTTATTTTCCTCAAATATTAAAAGGGTACTAGTAATGATACCTACCTCATAAAGTAGTTGTGAGAATTCTGTCAAGCACTTAAGATGCTGCCTGGTACATAGAAAGAAATCCATAAATGTTAGTCACTGCTATTGTAATTATTGTTGTTTAACTTTTGTTTAGGTGTTTAGATACCATAAAGTAGTAAAAAAGATAAAGCTGGATTGATGTTAATTCTCTGCAGCACCAACTTTATGACTTCGGGAAATTACACAATCAATTCAAACCTCAATCTTTTCATTTGTAAAATAAGGCCAAGAACCCAATAACACTACTCTTGGAGCATAATAATAAGGTGTAAAGTTCACCCAGCACAGGCCACAGTATGCCTGAGACATGATACCTGTTGCCATCAAGTTGACTCCAACTTACGTGTGTCAGAGTAAAACTGTGCTCTATAGAACTTTTAATGGCTGATTTTTCAGAAGTAGATTGCCAGACCTTTCTTCCTAGGAACCTCTGGGTAGACTCAAACCACAAATCTTTCCATTAGCAGCTGAGAGCATTAACTAGTCGCCCAGGGACTACCTGACACGTGATTTAAAAAAAAAAAAAAAA